TGCTGAAAAGCAATGATGTCAATTTGGAGACTAAGCTCCGCCTGATCTAGGACATGGTCTTCACAATTACTTGCTGTACATCAGAGAGCCGGACAGTGCATGCCAGAAAAAGAATTGACACTTTGAGTTGTAGTGCTGGAGAAGAGTATTGAACATACCATGGGCTGCCAAGAGAACAAATAGGTTTGTCCTGGAGAAGGTGAAGCCAAGTTGCTCTTTGGAGGCAAGATTTTGAAGCTCCATTTCACATACTTTGAACATGTTGCCACGAGGAACCAGTCCATGAAGAAGGACATCATGCAGGAGTGGAAGACTCTGGATGAGATGGATTGACAGTGACTGGGGCAATGTGGGCAAGTGCTTCAAAGACAGTGAGATTGGCTCAGGTTAGAGCCAACTTCAAAGCTATTCTACATTGGGTCACTAGGAGTCGTAGACAACTCTGGCACATAACACAAGATGATGAGAACACTTAACCCCAAGAGTTGTGTGTCCTCAAGTCTATTTTATAGGACAGAATAGAACAGCCCCATCAGATTTTCCTCAACAAGGTGGATTGACACAGGGACTGAAACAATGGGCTCAAGTATATCAGGACTGTGAGGATGGCACAAGATAGGGCAGAGTTCAGGTTCATTGTTCATAGGGCTGCTCTGAGTGGTAGTCCACTTAGCAACAACAATAATTTTTAAGGCAGCAGACAGATTTTTTTCAACCTTCTGTTAAGAACCAAGGGCAACCAATGCCAGATCTCAGGGAGATTGTCTAAGTTAGAAAAGCACAGGCAGACACATATCTTCTCCTAACATGACCACACCCAAATGTAACAAAAACTTATTGTTATTATTATGTACTGTCCAGTTGACTCAGAATCAACTCATAGCTGATAGTCAGTCTAATAACCAAGGCAGTAAATGGCACAGGAGTTGACTGCCCGTCTTTCTTTCAGAGCAGCTGGTGGATTCCAACCACTTGCCTTTGAGTCAGCAGTGCAACTCCTTACCTCTAAGCCACCAGAGCTCCCTGATGTAAACTTAGTTCCTATTAAGTTGCTTTCCAGGCAGAACCTGCTTAAACTGATTCCTTAATCTTGAACACAATCCACCATCCTCCCTCCAACTGCTAATATGCTCTAGAGGCAGTAGGCCATCATGCCTGGCAAGGAAGATTTTGGATGAGATGGAGATTGATGCTGACTGTGGCAACTGGGTCAGGTATGTCAGAGACGGAGAGGTTGGCTTGGGATAGGGCATGGTTTACAGCCATTGTTCACAGGATCACTACGAGTCGTAACTGACTTGACGGCACATAACAAAGAGGCAGCAAAAACTCTTCACTAATAGGACTGAGAACCAGCACCCAAAGAAACTGGGTGTGGGCACCATCTCATAAGTGATAGCCACTGATCAATGCCTTTTAATTGTATTGGCAATGAGTACTAAATATCCATGGACTACCAAAAGAACAAATAAGTCTTTCTTGGATCAAGTGCAACCAGGTTGCTCTTTAGAGGCAGGGATTGTGAAACTGGCTCACATCCTTTGGGCATGTTGTCAGAAGGGACTATTCTTTAGGAAAAAAGACATTTTGCTGGGAAAAGATGGATTGACACAGTGATTGTAACAAAGGAGTCATACATGTTGGAAATCATTAGAATGATGCAGGATAGGGCAAAGTTTTGATCTGCTGTTCACAGGGCCATTATGAGTCATAGTTGATTCAGTGGCATATAATAACATCTGGTCCAGAAGTTCTTACAACAGACTCTTCAATTCCAGAGCCCCATTTAGATGGTCCAGTTTTGGGCAAACTCCATTTTTCACTTTTGTGGAAGATGTAAAGTTTTGTTGCATATCATGCTTGGTAGGGTGGAGGGCAGGCACAGGAGGGGAAGGCCCTCTATGAGGTGCATTGATTCAGTGATTGGGGTAATCAGGGTGGGTGTATCGGAGACTGTGCGATTGGTACAGGACAGAGCAGAGTTTAGGGATGTTGTACATAGCGTCGCTATGAGTCACAAGCGACTCGACGGCACATAACAACAACTGGGATTTAGCCCTGATAGTACAACGGTTAAGCCCTTGTGTAACAAGAGCCTCAGATTTAAGTGTTCTTGCCAAGTCTAATCAAGAATAAGGAGAGGCAGCAGTGTTTTTTGGATAAAAAATGTATTAGAGAAAAAAATGTCTTTCAAGGGAACTTTCAAAGCTGCAGCAAGCGCTTTGGCAACCCAAGTCTCCATCCTCAATGAGGGGGAAAAAGCCAGCAGGATTTTATTAATGCTAATGAAAGAGAGCTCTGGTGAGCTAGGGCTAACAAGCTGTAATCCCAAAGACAACATGGTTCGAGTCCACTAGTTGCTCCTTGAGAGAAGGATGGGCTATCTCTTCCTGTGTGATTTACTGCCTCTGAAAACATGCTAGAGGATCTGCTATGGGTCTGTTCTGACTCCACAACACATAACAGCAACAAAACTTTACATCTTCCACAAAAGTGAAAAATGTCCCTCCTTGCAACATGTCCAAAATATGTTAGATGGAGCCTTAGAATCCTTGCCTTCAAGGAGCAGCCCAGTTTGACCCTTTCCAGGGTGAATCTGTTTGTTTTCCTAGCAGTCCATGGTACCCTCAATACGCTTCTCCAGCACCACAGCTCAAAGGCATCAATCAATTCTCCTTCTATCCTCCTTAGTCACTGTCCAACTCTCTGATGCATAACAAGTGATAGCAAAGACCATGACCTGTATCAGACCACCTTAGTCTCCAAAGAGACACCGTTGCTCTTCAGTACTTTGGAAAGGTCCCTAACAGCAGAATTTCCCATGGCAATACGTCTTCTAATTTCCTGACTTCTGGTGCCGAGAGTGTTGACTGTGGAGCCAAGCAAACTGAAGCTGTGAACAATCTCAATCGCTTCACCATCCATCCTGATGCTGCCAATTGTCCCAGTGGTGAGAATCGTTGTCTTTTTGACATTGAACTTCAATCAATATTGGAGGCTGCAGTCCTTGACCCTCTGCAGCAAGCGCTTCAGGTCCTCCTCAGTTTCAGCAAGCAGGGTTGTATCATCTACATAT